GAGGAACAATAGGGGGTCCCCAGTTGCAGGCAAATACACACTTTATGTGTGTGTGTGTGGGGGGTATTCCAGTGAAGCCTTTATAAGTAAAACTTTCACTGGTCATGTAGATAATGACTGAAGAATCTCCTCTAGATCTCAAGCATTACAGATATTTGCTTTTCAAATTGAACCCTGGCCAATGATGCCCTAGAATTGAAAGTAAAGTAATTAAATAATCAAATAACTGTGTAGAGTGTAAAGAATACACCAACTAAAACATATACCCTGCTACCAAGCCCACTAACAGCTCAGCATTCGTCCAAAAAGGAACTTTAAGATGCCAATACATTTCTGAAGATATTACAGACTCTGATAACACTAGTAAGAAAAAGCAGTCATGCTGGTTTCAGACTGTGCAGAATGCTATAGGTTGACCTTGAACATTTTACCCCCAGATTGCCAATGGATTAATTTTTTTTCATTTTGTCCCTAGAATTGAGGTTTATACTTTATCCTTAACCATTTAAAGTTCATTTTCTGTGTGGTCCTTAATGCAGTCCACTAATTCAAGCAATAATTTCCGCCAAGCTCATTAGCAAAAGTGCCCCCCCATAGTACCTTTTGAAAAAGGGGATTGTTTGGCCCCCCAAAATGGTGAAATTTTTGCCAGGATCAAGTCCCTGGTTCTTTGCGCTTCCATCTGAGGGCAGAAGGGATAAAAAAAATATGGTTGAAAAATGTTCCCAAAGGACCGAGAAAGTAGAGAGGTGCCATTTGAAAAATGGCGGCGTTCTGACTTTGGAACGTAGACCTTTGGGGGGCCGGTTGGTTTTGTTTTGGGTGAATAATTAAAAATGTAATTGGTTAACCCCCCGAAAATTGAAAAGAAACTGAAAGATTAATGATCGAATAATGGTTAAATTTGTGTGTGAGACACCCCAGGGATGTTGGCTTGCATGTTATTGAGCTCTGAAGAATGGTGATTTTACACTGGTTTCAATTGGGCTTGAATTAGTAGACTGTACCCTTACATTATCGAGTCGATCTATTGAACAGAAAATAACTTCGAATGTTCCCTTTGTGTCACTCCAGATTCAGTACATCCAATCCCCACAAAAGCTCCTCAACACACTGTCATGGACAGTTCGGCAATACAGAACTGTCTGATTCCACAAATAAACACTCAGTAAAGATATTTCGTGTCAGAATGACCTGAGAATTTATTTTCCTACGTGGGGGGGGACTTGCATTAGTTCACGGAACATTGTCAGACAAAGAAAGTTCGCAGCAACGAGGTCACATCTAGAAATCAAAATACATTTACAATTCATCTCCTGGCTACAAACCACAGTTCAAGGCACCGGACGGACAAGTACGCACTGTCTTAAGAAAGGCAATGAACGATTTACAAGACGCACTTTGTGTCTCTACTAAATTAGCCCAAAAAAAATTACTGGTCACTCGTTCGTCGCCAATGATGTCGTTTCTGATTCCATCAAGTTCACAAATATTCATGTGGCTATAGTACGTTGTAGAAGCAATGCTGAGAACGGCTGTTATAACGACTTTGGCTTTACATTCGATGCAAGTACTTTCTAATGCAGATTGTCTATTCCTTCTTAGAAATCAACAAATGTGCAGAGCATCGCACAGTTTAGTTCATGAAACTGCTACCTGTCACCTTCTAGCTGTGACGAATTTCCGGGGAAGCCCAATGTACGTCATGATGATTGCTTTTGTGGCTTTCCAAAGGCGTGGTCTCCGAGCGTCTCGGCTCACGAGCGCACCTAACCCAAACAAGGGCACCCCTAAACTCGTCCAGTCTTCTACTGTGAGTGTGGGCTGCAGAACTGCTGGTAACTTCCACCAGTTGGTCATAGTTGCCTTGACACTTCAATGCTTCTAGGCTGTGCATGCGCTTCACAGCATAAAAATTACAGAATATGCAGCTTTTGCAAACTGCACGACGGCCATGCTTGAAACAGAAAACGCTCTGTTTCATGAGGAAAAACGTTCTTCCCTGCGCAGCAGCAATCTAGCTTGACAACGCCCTAGCAAAACAATGAACCCACAAGAGAAGGAGAATGTCAGACAGGATGAAGTATGGGGGATTTCAATGCCCAGGTTGGCAAGGACTTCAACGTATGGAAAGACGTGGTTTGGAAACACGGTTCTTCGACCTCCTGTAAGGAAAAACCCCCGAAACTACGTATTAACAGGGCCGCCCTCTCGAACCCTGAAGTTCAACGTCAACTCTGTGCAGACCCTAACACTCGCCTCGATAACATCCAAATTTCAATTCAATTTCATTTACTTTAATAATTTCATTTGTATCCAACATAGTTATTGAAATACATTGAAATTCGTTGTGGTTTTGCGAGCGTTAAAAACTTGATAATCAAAATATATGTACAGAGCAATAATAAACGACACTACAAAAATTCACACCAGAATTACAACAAGTAATTTCAGACAGCATATCAGGTAAAATAACGATTGATTAAATAAAATGGGATTAAGATAACAATAAAATCTGATGAGTCACTGATTAGGACTTTGATTGCACCTGTACATGTACGTTCAATAAGCGAACTGCACTTGGATAAAAACTATTCAAGGTTCTAGTCGAATCTGCGCGAATTGATCTGTAATCGACACCGGCAGGATGCTTCAATGGCTACTGACGATACCTCGTCCAATGATGTATGATACAAAGAGCAGCTTCAAGATTGAGCTTACATGGGCATTAATGTTTCAGGTGCTCAAGACCTCGTCCAAGGAAACACTCAGAATTTCCAAAAGAAAGAACCCTGACTGCTTTGATGAATCTTCCAGTGAGATTCTCCCCCTCCTTGAGAAGAAGTCAGCTCTCAATGCCCACCTTTAATTCGTCATTCAGCTCTCTCCTGCAGAAATGGAAAGAAGAGCGAGCCAGTGTACAACGTCACCTGCGAGAGATTCAGAACAAATGTGGGATTCGCAAAGCCCAAGAAGTACAACGTTATGCAGAAGACATAAAGACACATGAGTTCTACAACGCCATTAAGGGTGTTTGTGGACCAGCTAGACGCACCGTAGCTCCAATACGCTCTACAGGTGGCTCAACACTTCTCAAGGGAAGAGCAAGAGATACTGGATCGTTGGGCGGATCACTTTCATAAACTTCTGAACAGGGTCAATCCACGCGACCCTGCTGCTATTCGGCGACTTCCTACTCTCCCACCAATTCCAGAGCTAGACAACTGCACTTCACATGACGAACACGAAAATCTTCATTGACTTTAATACTTTTAGGCCTTCCTTGTCAATGCGTTTTGTAGTTGTACGAGGGGTACAAGATTTGTGTCTCTTTGTGAAAGCGCAAATGCATTCATCGAGATTTTTGCCCCTGAGAATGCAATCGAAATCGAAAAATGTGCCATTTTGGACATGCGTGGCTCTTCGTGAAAACAGAGACGAAATTTCTTATTCAAATAGACCTTCTATATAGGCTAGAAAACATGTATTGATTGTGCCTGTTAGCGTGTGTTTCTGTCCGTCAGCTTCCTCAGACGAACTGAGTTTCCAGCGACTATCACTTGGTACATGTCAAAAACTACTTTTAGGTGTGGCATGACAACACAAAATGGGGTCATATGTATCCTCCATTAATAAGTCCGAGTATAATGTACATATTTTTGTATTCAAATATGTACCAAGTGCACCGATATGGGATCCACAGGGTTTATAACTTCGCCCTGCTTGGAGTTTGAGATTCTTTTAGAGGAAAAGAATAAATCACACAGCATTTCATAAAATTTAACTTATCAGTAAGGTTTGCGTGGGAAGGAGGGTTACCCAGCCCAGAGCAGTATTATTCGTGCTTATTACGCTTAACTGGAAAAACCTCTGGTGTTAATTTTCTACCCTGCCAGGCTGGGTGTAGTCTTCTGATAATACCTAGGGTGTTAAAAACCAATTTAAACCACAGTTTTTGCAGTGTATCATAAAGACCAAAAACATCTTTGGCTCAAAAATTTCTTCGCACTAATTCTACCCGATTCGATCATGCAAAGGTGAAATATTGTTTCAACAAACAACTTCCAGAAATTAGAGAAGGGGTTCGGGA